TGGTGTCTACACTATCACAAATAAAGACTCCAACACATGAAGAGGGAGCATTGATAGCAGGACGTCAAGAAAATCCATCCCAACAATATACATACATTTCATTGTTATTATAACTGTTTGTCAAGCTAAAATTGACAAACTAGGACTCCATACACAGACATTGCACTGCAGACAAAGTGATGTTATAAAACTGCTTATTTTGTCTCATTGAAACTATGCAGAAAACACTTTGCTCGCTCACATTGAATGACAGAAATTAAGCGTAAAATTGGAAAAATAAAATGTTATCTTTTCTCTGTGACTGCATTTTGAAATGTCTACACCTCTGCCGATAGAATGGAAGTGCTGACCCGTACAGTGCTATCCAATTATGACCTGTAGTTCCAACTCTACCAAAAGCAAAATGGGGGAAAATGATGTCATATATTTTGTGATTGAATCTGGAGTCCGGTCCAGTCGACAACAATGATACTGCAAGTGTGGACTTTGGAGACTGCAAGACGGGCGAGTGCTTGTGGAATAATGGAGTTGTTCACAGGTCACTGCCGAACTATTGGCCTCCAGTGGGCCCTGTCTGTCTGAGTGAACACCGATGCATGGCCAGAATAAGTCTCCACATCCTCTTTTTACTGTTATTGTAAAAAAGGAGAAGAACATGTCATTCAGATTTTGAACCACTCCACCTGCAGTTAGACTTCTAACTGCAGGTGGATATCAGGTGTGGGCAATTATTTTTTAATATTGTTATTTTGTTGAGAGCCAAACTCGTTTTCAGGACATTAGTTTTATACAATTTGGATCAACAAAATTGGATGGGTGGGAGTTCATGAAAATGTATATCTCTGTATTAAAGTATGTGTGTATGTTCAATGTCAGTATTAGGAAAGTCAAACAACTAAATCCTGTATGAACCTTAAAAAGAAAATCTTATCAAAATAACAACGCTTTATTATTTAGTTTGGAACCAAAAATAATAATAATAATATATATTTCTTGATTCTCGTTATCTTTATAATTATTGGCAGAATGTGACAAATAAATGAATAAATAAATACATGTCACTGACATGTATTTATTTATTCATTTATTTATAATTTTGACAGTTTTGGTCCTCCGTAATAGCCACTTTCTGCCTCCGTGCTGCTGTGTTTACAGGCACTGTAGACTCTGGAGGATGCGGCCTGTTCGTAACGGCGGCGCTCCTCGTTCTGTGATTGGAGGAGACGCTAAGTGTCTACCTAGCCTGAATTCATACACAAGCTGAATCAATGAGCTCACGTTTACAATTAAATTACAGATTTTAATACAAGTTGCATGTAGTAATGTACATTTATATGAACTCATTATAACATAAATCAGGTATAGTTCCTTTAAAGTAATTGTCTGGAGTTTGCGGGAGTTTGTCAGAAAAAAGAGAGAGGGGGAGATGATTTGATTTCCTTACTGAACAATGTAAAAATGCACTCATTCCGAGTCAAAATGCTCTTTTTCTGTGGCGTGTACAATTGTGGCAACTGCTCATATCAAGTTGGGAACTCATGGGGTTTCTATTTTGCTAACATTTATTTCACTAACGGGTCTCGATTTTTAGGAAAATGCCTAATAAGGAACGGAAGCGTTAGCATTAGCATTAGCCTGCATAGTGTAACACTTACGAGGAGTAGTACAGGGAAAGGGCTGTATAGTATATACTAGCATACAACACAGTAGTAGGGTTATCTTCTATGGACCAGATCAGAAACCTAGACTCGGCTACAGGAGGAGTGAAATAAACCTTAAATCAATAAGAGACCACAGACCAGTGAGTAAAGTTAACTTTTCCGTTAAACCTTTTAGTTTACTTTTAAAAGATTTAATTTATTTTAAGTTCTATCAATATATAGGTTAATATTGATGTTGGTTTATTGTAGTAGTAGGTTGCAACCTTTAGTTCTTTTACATTTCAATTCAAGTTATTTCTTTACTTGAGTTAACTCTCTGTTTTGAAGTTTAGTTCTATTCTGTTTCAAGTTCTTTTATAGTAATAGGTACCTTTTGTTGTTTACAACCAAACAGTAACAATAATACTGTTATAATACAGTACTTGTGTATGGTCAATAAAATAAACTAGAAATGGTACAATGGCTGAAGCCATTGTGAGTGGCTGCATAGATGTTGGAAGGGTTAGGGATGAAGAAGGAAGAAGTTGAAAGAAATGAAAGATGTAGGAAGAAGAAGAAGAAAGAAAAGGGAAGAAGGGGAAAGAAGTAGAAGAAGGAAGAGGAAAAGGTAGAAGGAGGAGGGAGGTAGAGGAAGGGGAAGAAGAAGAAGGTGAAGAAGGGGAAGAAGAGGAAAAAGGGGTAGAAGGGGAAGAGGGGGAAGAAGGGGAAGAAGAGGAAGAAGGGGAAGAAGAGGAAGAAGAGGAAGAAGGGGAAGAAGAGGAAGAAGGGGAAGAAGTGAAGAAGATGAATTAAGAATGTGTTGTAAGGGGCTGAATGTGTTGTAAAGTACTGTTAGTGTTGTAAGGTGCTGTAAGTGTTGTAAGATGCTGTAAGTGTTGTAAGATGCTGTAATGTATTTTATCTGTGGTAATGAATTGTTAGTTTGGTAATGTGTTGTATGGGGAGTAATCTGTTGTACTGGTCCAATGTAAGTCAATGGGAAAAAGTGCTTGAACTTTTGTTAATATCTGAAAAAGTGCTAAAGGTGGAAGTGTGAAAAGTAATAGCAATAATGAGACGGTGAAGCCGGTCGTAACGATGTATAATTTGTTGAATTTGGTGAAAGCGTTGAAGAGTTGAAAAGTGCCAAAATCTGGCGGAAGTGGAAGAAGAAGAAGAAGAATACAAGTCAAGTCTCAACCGTTAGAAAGGACTGGGTCCACTCTGGCCAGTACCAGCCGATGGCTCAATGGGAGAGGAGAGGAGCGGATGAAGAGGGTGAAGGAGAGACAAGCTTGGAATACAGTCCCAAATTAAAATGCTACGGAGGCGCCGTGTTGCAACGTATAGCCAATTGGAATGGCTTGACCCGAAGCCAAACAGAGTTGAGCACAGCCACAGTGCCACAGTCTGGTGCACCTGTTGTGCATAAGCACTTGTCTGACGCTGCGCACATGGCTGTTTGGTGGAGTGGCCTGCAGCATGAGCCACGAGTTTAGTTAGAGCCAAGCAATACGTTGCACTGTGTAATGTGAATGAAGAGCAAGTGATGCTGGATTCAATTGCGAATTACAAATTTGGCGAGGCTCCAGCTCATGCTGCTGCAAGCTCCCAGGCAGTGGGTGACGTCAGAGGCAAGAAGGAGTGCAGGTGCGCTAACTACCTATTAAAGGGTGAGGCGGTACGCGATAGGCTACCAGCGGCTCAAGGGGCCTACCACCACACTTGGTTCAGACCATGAATCCTCTCTGCTCTGGTCTGGACCAGTGAAAACCATGAACACTGTACTGCAGCAACATCTCAGGCAGAAAAAAGCAAGAAAAATGAAAATTGTAAAGCACAAAACAACAACTGTTTCAGAGCTACTCAGGACTTGTTGCTGTTTCCAGCGCATTCAAAAGTAAACACCTACGATGTCCTCCATCCATCCATCCATTTTCTTCCCTTTAATCCATTTCTGGGTCAGGGGGGTGGCAGTCAGAGATGCCACCCAAGTCTCATAGCACCAGCCCCTCACTGACCCTCTGCAGGTGGTGAGTCCACAGGAGGACGGCTGCTCTCTGAGTGTGAGCATAGCCTTGATCTTTCAGTGGGGGCTTTGGGCAAAGTGGGGTTAAGTGTCTTGCCCAAGGACACAACAACAGCAGTCATCAGTGGGAGTCGGTGGAGAAGGTGCAGAGGTGGGAATTGAACCCACTACCTTCTGGCCTTAAGGCCAATGCTCTACCAACTGAGCTACTGTCGTCCCCACAATGACCTACGATGTCCTACTCATGAAAAGGTAACACTTTAGAATACTGTTTGATTATACATCATTTATAAAAGTTAAAGGTCTCTCCACTGATTGAACAAAACTCTCTGGTCTTATTTGACGAGCCGTTATCACCAGAATGATTGACAAGTGAGAGGACCAATCATCTTGATGATCCATCCGAGGTAGAAAATCTTCTTATATGCCTTTGAGTTATCATTGACTATTAAGTACTTAGCATTAAAAAATTTCTTTTATACATTAACAAATAATTATCTAAACATTAACAACTCATGAACAAGTGATATTTGTGACTGTAACAGTGTTTTAATATTCATTTACAAAGACTTACAACAAACAACAATGAATGATTTTAACTAAAACAGGCGCTAACCACTAAAAACTGTTTTTTTACTTATCTGTAAGGTAACAATGTGTAGATTACAAGTACGGTATGTGGGTTTAAAAGAATGCACTACATCATAATTAGTAAAATAAGTTACCAGAAAAAAACATACTGGTAGCTGGAGTAAACATTTCTAAATTCAAGAGTTTTTATTTTTGTCATTTGAACCAACTCAAACTGCTGTTTGTGTTAAAATAACAGAATAGTTCCACAGCAGTTGAGGTTCTGTGGCAAAAGGCCACTTACACCATGTTTTAGAAAACATTGATTTCTATTTTTTTAACATAATGTGCGTTTATGTTGAACGTTTAATAGCAGCCACAGGCTGGGGCCACATTTTATCTCTGTGCTTTTTGTTTACTTCTTGCTGTGTACTTCTTTTGGGTTCTTTGAACCCTGCGGCTTTTATAGTGAAAACCTAAAATCCCCATAATGAATATCCAATTAAAGCAATGGCTAATTTACTTTGATTTGAAGGTACTGTCCATATAAGGGCATATATGATGTAATGCATATGACATCATCATTCTAGCATCTAAACAAGTGTTCTAGAGTGCCAGTGTCATGGTTACATGGTTACAAGTCTCTCTATATGCCTTCACTTTTGCTGAGACACTGTTGAGAGATACACACTTTTCAATTGCTCGTGCATTATTGCTTTGAATACTGTTGTTTTTGACCAAGTCTGACTTTTACAAAAACAATGTCGTCTTGGGATTCCTATGAGACCTCTGGTGCAGCAGGTAATAACATGAAACATCAGACACTCACTGAACAAACACTGCAACCAAAACAGTTCAAAAAGACTTTGTCTCAGATTTGTGTAGAAATAATCAGCATTTTCTGTAAAAAACAACCAACTGCTTCTGTAAACGCACAGTTTATTTGAAAATAGAATACATCTGAAGTCAAATCATGATTGAGAATACACATGTCTCTGTTTTTGTTACTGCTACTGTTACTTTTCACTGATCAATACTAAAATGCAATCAAGAAACGGCACTTGTATACAACTTTGTCTTTATGATAATATCCACTTTAGTCAGAAACATCATTTAGAGAACTTTAAAGAGAATTGTTTAAGTATTATTCATAAACCCCATGACACAGGGATGCAAAGACTGGTTCAGGGGCTATCTTCAGTTGTAGTAACCATGTCTGTACTGCAGAATATATATTGGTGGAAAAAGTACTGATAATTGTATAGTTATGGTGACATGTGTATAGTTAACAGAAACATGTGTACATTTATATGTACTGTATGTACTGTATGTATTGTGTGGCCTGATGGAGCCTTTGTCTCGTCCTCAGCACCTGACGACTGGTCTGAGATCACCATCGGTCACACCCTCCAGGGTCAGACCGATTCCTACTACGTCCAGGACTGGCTCGGTGAGGGCGGCTTTGGTCGTGTCGCCAAATGCCAGGCCCTGAGCAGGAAGCAGACTGTGGCTGTGAAAATGTTGAAAGACCACACCGAGAGCATGGAAGCAGAGGTAACACATGTTCATCGATCACTTTTTGTCATACATGCATATTCATTTGGTTATGATTCATATGTAAGGGTGCACTGCGATTATTCCATAGTTTTATATCTTTAACTGTATTAAAGTAATAGTAATAATTTGAACCACATGTGTCCATTGTCACTTTAGCCCATATCGTGCTCATGCTGTTAACATGTGCAGCTACATACATACAACTATGTTTTTTGAGGATTAAAATTACTTCTTTATTATGCTAAAGTTAGAAATATTATACTTGCTTCTTTGTTATTATTATTTTAAAGTCAGATGTTTTATATTCAATTCAATTCAACTTTATTACGGACTCAAGGTCCAAAAGACAGCGACATCACAAACAACATTAAACTACAAACAAATAAATTACACAGTCCCTTTAAAAAGACAGCTATACCAGGTCCTCCACATTAGCGACTGATAGCGAATGGCACTACAGGTGACATCAACCAATGAACCAATTACTGTATTAACAGACTTATTCAAACGGCATATGAAACGGTACATAAGCATCCGCAGTGTGGCTTGCAGCGTGTTTATTCCAGCAGTGACAAACATCTCACTCGCACTGGTCCATCTCGGCCTCCTGAGAAGCACACGCAGAGCGTCGTTATAGGCCACCTGCCACCTTTGCAAAGTTCCTTTTTTATAGTTCGACCAAAGGTGCGCTGTGTACAGAGGTGTACAATATGATTTGAACAACATCATTTTCACTTTTTCCGTACAAAAGCCAAATTTACGCGCCAGCGTGTTTGCCTTAAGTCTTTCTTCTTTATTATGCTAAAGTTATTGATTTTATTTTATTTTAGCATAGAGTCATTATTCTGTGTGCTCCTCATTCCTTCTGATGTACAGTAACTAGCAATGCAACACTGACATTTCCCCACTGTGGGACGAACGAAGGATCTCCTAAAGTCTTCCTCTTTTCCTTGTAGATTTCCATGTTGGAGAAGGTCAGACTCCTCGACCCGGAGCGTGTGAACCTGGTGCACTTTGTGGAGTGTTTCCAGTTCATGGGGGTGAATTGTCTCGCCTTGGAAATGCTTGATGTCGATCTGTACACGTTCATGAGCAGAAGATGTTTCGTACCTCTGCAAATGAGCGAGATTCGGCCGATTGCCCAACAGGTAATTCTTCATTTAAAAAACAGATTTTTTTTTCCACTGTCCATCGAGCCTGGGAATACCCATGATGCTGTGTGCGCCTGAATCATTTGGAACTGCATCACAATTGTTTTCTTGCTCCTTTTTAGCTTGATGTATTCCAAACTGTAGTTTGTACTGTAGTTTTTAGCTAGTTGTATTTATGTACTTGCCTGGTGCACACTGGGGACTTGTACACATGTATTCTAATGTGGTTTTATATTATCTTCTAATGATATTATTATAATATTCAGACTTGGTGGTATCAAGTCAGCATTAGTATAGCGATGGACCGTCCAAACTCTCGTTGATCATGTTGCGTCTCCTGTCTCTGCAGTTGTTGGTGGCTTTAGACGCCCTTAAAGGTGCAGGGATCCTCCACTGTGACATCAAACCCGACAACGTCATGTTCACAAACCTGGAGGAGCAATCTCTGAGGATCAAGCTCATTGACTTTGGAGAAGCCATGAGCATCTGTGAGGCTCAGCCAGGGATGGACATCCAGGCTCTTGGCTACAGGTAACTTGAACATTTATATCTGCCCATGACAAAATACCAAGTTTTTACACAATCCTCTAAACGTTCTGTGTTGAATCTTCCAGAGCTCCTGAGATCTCACTCGGTCTCCCGTTCACCGAGGCTGTGGACGCGTGGGGGGTGGGCTGCCTCTTGGCCTACCTCTACCTCGCAGACAACCTTTTCCCTGTCCACTGTGAGTATCAACTCATGAAACGCACGGTGGAACTTCTGGGGAAACCTGCTGACCACCTGCTGCAGAAGGGGAAGTACTCTGACTACTTCTTCCATGAAGTCCTGACCACCGAGGGAACCCACTGGAGACTTTTGGTACTTCTTCAGTTGTGTTTTGTGATGTGTCTGATTTTCATGTGCTGGTTCAGTTGATTCAATTAAAATAATTTCTTAGTTCCCAGAAGAGTTCTCAGACCAGAACAATGTGAGCACTGAGGAGATGGAGGTGGACTTTGACTTCCCCAACTTATTGGACGACCTTCACAATGTAAGTACGGCAGGCAAGGCCAATTTATTTGTATAGCACAATTCATACACAAGGCAACTTAAAGTGCTGAACAAAACAAGAAAGAGACAGTCACACAAGGCATTAAAATCCTAATCATTACTGCTGATCTACATGTCCAATAGGGAAAGTAATGTTTATCTAACATCTTAATTCTTGCTTTCTTATTAGAGATAATAGACTGCTTCCTTATTATGCTAAAGCTAGATATTTTGTTTTGTTAAATTATGTCGTAGAGATTTGTTGTGTTCTTGTGCTGTGTGCTCATTCCTACTGTTCTGTAACTGGTAATGTAACACTGAAATGTCCCCACTGTGAGACAAGGGAGAGGGTACAGTGCACAACAACGTTAAGCTAAAAAACAATACAATAACAGTTAAAAATAGGAGTTTAAAATAGGCGCCTCCGTAGCATTTTAATTTGGGACTGTATTCCAAGCTTGTCTCTCCTTCACCCTCTTCATCCGCTCCTCTCCTCTCCCATTGAGCCATCGGCTGGTACTGGCCAGAGTGGACCCAGTCCTTTCTAACGGTTGAGACTTGACTTGACTCGGACTGGAACCCGGACTGGACTGGACTGGGACCCGGACGGGACTCGGACGGGACTCGAACGGGACTCGGACGGGACTCGGAACGGGACTCGGACAGGACTCGGACAGACCGGACCGGACAGCTGCCCGGCTACATCAGCGTGCGCTCTGACGCGCGCGCCAGGCCACTCACTGGGCCTCATGTATGAAACTTGCGTACGGCCAATTAAGGGTGTAAATGATGCGTACGCAAAAAATTTACACTTTTCCGCATTTATCAATCTGGACGTGAGCGTACGGTACGCACAGAATTTAGTCAAGTCAATAGGTGGTGTAAATGTGTACGCTCATTTCACCCTTCGTCACAACACGCCAAAACACGCATGAAATTCAAGATTTGTACAACAATAAACATGTTCCCACTCTGACAAGATTATAAGCTGTGTTTTCATGGAGCATCATGTTTTGGAATTTGAATTTGCGCATCAGAAAAAGTCCAACACTCTGGAAACACGCAAACTTCGAATAAATCACAGATCATGATGAGGAGCCTCTGCTGTTTCTGTGATTTTAAATCTGACTTCTGTGTGTATTATTTTGATCTGTATGTTTTTCAAATGTGAAGCGCTTTGTGATCCTGGACAGTGAAAGGCTCTATATAAATACACTTTATGCGACAGGGATGTGTGACCCAGCTATTGCTGTGGCAGGCTCTGCGCTGCGTAATTACACACGGCTATTTGTATTCCTCATTCACATCTGGTAAAGCAATGTATGTTTTCATTAGATTTGTGTAAGCCTCACACAGACACACATCCCATTAACGCATGGACCGATGGACGATGGTATTGCTCACTCCAAATGTCTCACTGCGTGCATCCACAGCAGGTGCCATGAGAGACGCGCCACATAACTCCTCAAATGCTGTCATTCAGAAGTTTTGGCTCCAGAGTTTCTTTGTAAAATCTAGACCGTAAACGCTCTCGCAAGTGTACAGCGCTTCAGTGCATTCACAAGACGCTGCAGACGCTTCATTTATGAGAGCCACGCTGCACAATATGAATTCATTATTATATATATAAAATTCTTTAAATTCATTCATTCTTTATTTATTCACGTCTATCAAAACATTTCTGCAAATTTGTTCAAAACGCAGCTGAATAAATAGCGTAGCGTATATAGCGTATATTTATTTTTACATATGAACAACCTTTGGCAGACCCTGCGCCGTACACGTAATTACGCGTATGTTTTGCCTCATTCACCTCTGGCAAAGCAATGTGGGTTTTCCTTAGTTTTGTGCATAAAGCCCCATAAATGCACCTGATCTTGCTCAAAACTGTCTCATCCACTGCCCTGTAGAGCAGAGATAGGATGCGACGCACACCAGAAGTATAGTTCATTCATTCATTCAGGTCATTTATTATTTATTTATTTACTTCTAAATTTCAGGAGAGATGAGTGCTGCAGTGGGTCTAGACACTAGGGAAAAAAGTGTGTATATAATATAGCATATATTTATTTTTCAAAAACGTGAATAAACTCAAAAGTGCGTGCTTTTTGCGGCTTCTTAGCCGAGTTCCTGCTGACCTGTCGCAAAAACAGGGCGTGGAACAGGCAGTTTCTGAATATTTCTAGGCGTGACTTTCATAAATACGCTGGTTTTGAGCGCGGCATTTATCAACAGCCGCAGGTGCGTACGCTCAGATCTGTGCGTATCTCACACGTTCATAAATGCCACGTCAGATCTTGCGTAAATGGGATCTACCCCCAAAATGTACACCTTTTTCTGCTCAATTTTCATACATGAGGCCCAGTGTGTGGACCAGCGCGAGCCTGTGGGACTGTGGGAGTTGGCATTTGGGGATGATGATGCTTGTCTAATGTTTACTAATGGAATAATTGTAGAGCTCATTTTAAAAGAACCAAAACCTTATTTGTGTACAAGTGTATCCCTACCTTTAATGTAAATAAATTGAACTATTTTCTTATTTGTGTCTCCTGGTCCGCTCAATCACGGACGTGCGCGTCCTTGTGAGTTTCCCTATTAAAATATAGGGTGGCGTTGCTATGGTTAAAGAATCAGTGGTTAAAATCATAACTAACTGTAACACGGCTATTACACAAGCAGATCAGGTGAAAATCCACTCGAGGAATGCTAACATTTTGAAAAAGGCTAAGGAAGCATTTAGCATTTTATTTTGGACTAGAGCAGAGAAAATGGTCTGAACCAAGCGGCTACTCCACCTTGTGACCTGTCCTGCTCCACCCAGACGCTACTCCACCTCTGCTGCTGTGACCTGAAGGGCTGTTGCTGATTATTACTATTCTTAGCTCTTTAGAATGATACATTTTATTTTTCTACTTTTGCTCCTGCTGGACACCTGAATTTCTCCTACAGGGATCAATGAAGTATATATCTATCTATATTCAATGTTCTCAACTATTGTCAGAGTTATGATCAGGGAAAATATTGGATGAAGATGATGGAGGATCTCCCCCCCTGGACTGCCACCTTAACGTGGTGGGGGAGTTTGAGTACTCAGCTGATCCTGGGAGCTATGCTGTCTGGGGCTGCATGCCCCTGGTAGGGTCTCCCATGGCAGACAGGTCTCAGGTGACGAGTCAGACAAAGCGCAGTCCGAAGCCATCATGGACAGCACAATAAGGACAACAGTGACGTCGCCCGGTATGGCGCAGCCGGGGCCCCACCCTGGAGCCAGGCCTGTGGTCGGGGCTCGCAAGCGAGTGCCTGGTGGCCGGGCCTTAGCCCACGAGGCCTGGCCGGGCTCAGCCCGAAGGGATGACGTGGGCAGTCCCTCCTGTGGACCCACCACCTGCAGAGGGGTCCGTGGTGGCGCGGTGCAGAGAGGACTGGGCGGCAGTCGAAGGCGGAAACCTCGGCGACCCAGTCCGCACACACAACCTCTGGCTCTAGGGACGTGGAACGTCACCTCACTGGGGGGGAAGGAACCCGAGCTTGTGAGGGAGGTTGAGCGATACCGACTAGAGATAGTCGGCCTCACCTCCACACAGAGCTTGGGCTCTGGAACCCAACTCCTTGAGAGGGGTTGGACGCTCCACTTTTCTGGAGTTTCCCGCGAGGTAAGGCGCCGAGCTGGGGTGGCCATTTTCATTGCCCCCCATCTTGGTCGCCACGTGTTGGAGTTCTCCCCGGTGAATGAGAGGGTCGCGTCCCTCCGCCTCCGGGTGGGGGACAAGTCTCTCACTGTTGTGACGGCCTACGGGCCTAACAGCAGTGCAGAGTATCCGGCCTTCTTGGAGTCCTTGGGACGTGTACTGGACAGTGCACCGCCCGGAGACTCCGTTATTCTCCTGGGGGACTTCAACGCCCATGTGGGAAATGCCAGTGACACTTGGAGAGGGGTGATTGGGAAGAATGGCCCCCCTGATCTAAACCCGAGCGGTGTTCAGTTGTTGGACTTCTGTGCTAGTCACGGTTTGTCCATCACGAACACCATGTTCGAGCACAAGGGTGTCCACGAGTGCACGTGGCACCAGGACACCCTAGGCCGGAGGTCGATGATCGACTTTGTTGTCGTATCATCTGACCTTCGACCGCGTGTCTCGGACACTCGGGTGAAGAGAGGGGCGGAGCTGTCAACCGATCACCACCTGGTCGTGAGTTGGATCCGCTGGCAGGGGAGGAAGCCGGTCAGACCTGGCAGACCCAAGCGTATAGTGAGGGTCTGCTGGGAACGTCTCACTGAACCCCCTGTCAGACGGACTTTCAACTCACACCTCCGGGAGAGCTTCTTCCAGGTCCCGGCAGAGGAGGGGGACATTGAGTCCGAGTGGACCTTGTTCTCTTCCTCTATCGCCAATGCGGCGGTCCGTAGCTGTGGTCGCAAGGTCTCTGGTGCTGGTCCCGGCGGCAACCCCCAAACCCGGTGGTGGACACCGGCAGTAAGGGATGCCGTCAGGCTGAAGAAGGAGTCCTATCGAGCCATGATGGTTCGTGGGACTCCTGAGGCAGCTGTCCAGTACCGGCAGGCCAAGCGTGCCGCGGCCCGGGCTGTTGCAGAGGCAAAAATCCGGGACTGGGAGGAGTTCGGAGAGTCCATGGAGCATGACTATTGGGCGGCCTCAAAGAGATTCTGGCAAACCGTCCGGCGCCTCAGGAGGGGGAAGCAGTTCTTTGCCAACACCGTGTACGGTGCGGGTGGAGAGCTGCTGACCTCGACTGGGGATATTGTCGGGCAGTGGAAGGAATACTTCGAAGTTCTCCTCAATCCCCCCGTCACGTCCTCCGTCCCGGAGGCAGAGGCTGTGGATGTTGGGGCGGATACTTCTATCTCCCTGGCAGAGGTCACCAAGGTGGTTCGCAGCCTCCATGGTGGCAAGACGCCGGGAGTGGATGAGAACCGTCCTGACTATCTTAAGTCTCTGGATGTTGTGGGACTGTCTTGGCTGACACGTCTCTGCAGCATTGCGTGGCGATCGGGGGCGGTGCCAATGGAGTGGGAGACCGGGGTGGTGGTCCCTCTCTACAAGAAGGGGAACCGAAGGGTGTGTTCCAATTATCGTGGGATCACACTCCTCAGCCTCCCCGGTAAGGTCTACTCCAAGGTACTGGAGAGGAGGCTACGGCCGATGGTCGAATCTCGGATTCAGGAGGAGCAGTGTGGTTTTTGTCCCGGTCGCAGAACACTGGACCAGCTCTATACTCTCCATCGGATACTCGAGGGTTCATGGGAGTTTGCCCAACCTGTCCACATGTGCTTTGTGGATTTGGAGAAGGCTTTCAACCATGTTCCCTGGGGTGTCCTTTGGGGGGTTCTCCGGGAGTACGGGGTCCGGGATCCTCTGCTGAGGGCCGTCCGGGCCATGTATGACCGGAGCCAGAGCTGTGTTCGCATTGCCGGCAGTAAGTCAGACCTGTCCCTGGTGCATGTTGGCCTCCGCCAGGGCTGCCCTTTGTCACCGGTTCTGTTCACCGTGTTTATGGACAGAATTTCTAGGCGCAGCCAGGGGCCGGAGGGGGTCCGGTTCGGGGACCTAAGGATTTCATCCCTGCTTTTTGCGGATGATGTTGTCCTGTTGGCTCCAATGAACGAGGACCTGCAGCATGCACTGGGACGGTTTGCAGCCGAGTGTGAAGCCGCTGGGATGAGAATCAGCACCTCCAAATCCGAGGCCATGGTGCTCGACCGGAAAAAGGTGCTTTGCCCTCTCCAGGTGGGTGGAGAGGTCCTTCCTCAAGTGGAGGAGTTCAAGTATCTCGGGGTCTTGTTCACGAGTGAGGGACGGATGGAGCGTGAGATTGACAGGCGGATCGGTGCAGCGTGTGCAGTGATGCGGTCGGTGTATCGGACCGTTGTGGTGAAGAGGGAGCTGAGCCGAAAGGCAAAGCTCTAGATTTACCGGTCAATCTTCGTTCCCTCCCTCACCTATGGTCATGAGTTTTGGGTAATGACCGAAAGAACGAGATCGCGGATACAAACGGTCGAAATGAGCTTCCTCCCCAAAGTGGCTGGGCGCTCCCTTAGAGATAGGGTGAGGAGCTCAGTCACACGGGAGGAGCTCGGAGTAGAGCCGCTGCTTCTCCACGTCGAGAGGAACCAGTTGAGGTGGCTGGGGCATCTGTTCCGGATGCCTCTTGGACGCCTCCCTGGGGAGGTGTTCCGGGCACGTCTCACCGGGAGGAGGCCCCGGGGAAGACCCAGGACACGCTGGAGGGACTATGTCTCTCAGCTGGCCTGGGAGCGCCTTGGGGTCCTCCCGGACGAGCTGGAGGAAGTGTGTGCGGATAGGGAAGAAAAAAGTAGTCTTCCTTATCTGTAGATGTTACAGACAAGGCCCGCATCCTTCCACCACCTGAAGAAGATGAGCCAAGGCTGGGATCGCGTCTTTAATTCAGACAGAAGACATGTTTTATTGTCGATGGTAGAGACAGCACGAACAACACGAACACAGATACAACAGAATGCAAGTGTATTATACAGAGCGGAGGCATGGAGACCTCCAATCAGCAGCTTCCACAGTGCCATGTAGCTTGGCCTTCAGATAGACAAAACAAGGGAAAAGTACTGGATTCTGCACATTGATAGAATGATGAGTTTAACTTTAACAAAAGTTGCTTCAAAGTGTTATGAAATCTCACAGTGTCTCTGCTTAGACTGCTGCCCCCGCGACCCGGCAACGGATGAAGCGGAAGAAAATGGATGGATGGATGGATGATGGAGGATGAAGAATACATGTCTCCAACGCACCACTGAAGTAATTTCCGGATTGCATTTAGAAAAAATCCTCATCACACTCTTTATACATTTTATGCTATAAATATATGAACTTTAGACCGACATCACCATTTGTTCAGTGAATATTTACTTTAAAAGAAACATTTGATGCTAAATCAATCTTTAAACCATGTTACAATATTGTTCCCTCATCAAATACTGGAGTTGGTTTTAGATCCGTTCACGTCATTTTTTAGTGACTCTTTTCTACAAGTACGACAAAGGTAAGGTAAGTTTTCTAATAAGAGGAAGAAATTATGTTGTGGTCTGGTTCACATTTTACTTTCCGTTGGGACAAACATTAAAAAAAAAAGTTAGGCATCCCAGCTTTATATCTATGGATTCAGAGCTAGGGTAGGGAACTGCGTAATTATTTGGACTGTTTTGTAAAAAACATGCAAATCTATCAAATGTTATAACCCTATTTCTGTGAGAAAAAAGTAAATAGAAACAAATGTATCTCTTCAACTGACTAAAAATATGAAAATAATCAGCCTCAGGACAAGCACCAGGGTGAAACTAAAAGTAAACTAGATCAGCTCGACCTCAGCTGACAGAGAAGCTACAGCTTTCATAAAGATCACATTTTGTGGGGATTTTAGTGTCCCTTGTCATCCTGAACTTTTTTTCTTGTTAAACCCTTCCCACTCTTACTCCGCTCGAATCATTCTCTAATCAATTCTCCCAGTATTTGTGAATGAGTAGTAAGACAGTTGTTTGTTAGTTTTTTTTATTTGTTGAAATAGTTTATAATAAATTAGCTGAACTCATTCCCCTCGAAGTAGAATCTAAAAAAATAGAAAAACACAAGTAAATAGTAAATAACTAAGCATTAACTTATGATTTGTTCATGTGCAGTATAATAAAGTGCTACCATTGTGATTCCTGAGGACGCACACAGCAGCACAGCACATCTGCAATCCTTCGCCACACTCTGCCAATCCTCCTGACCGGGGAGAGTTTTTTGGATTTGACCTTTCGAGCCACTGAAGCCTCTGGGGCCTCTGAAACCTCTGGGGCCTCTGGAACCTCTGGGGCCTCTGGAACCTCTGGGGCCTCTGGAACCTCTGGGGCCTCTGGAACCTCTGGATCCTCTGCAGAGTCTGTGGCCTGGAGAATGTGGGAAAAGGACCCCACTCTTCCAGGTGATCCAGGGTTGATGGACTGGACCACAAGGCTCACATCGGAGACACACACTTCATCTGGAGGTGTTGTGCAAGAGTCCAGAGAGTGCTCCAGGTCAGTGCCCACCAATGACACAGACATCTATAAAGAAAAGACACTTATAATTAAAGGGTAAAACTATGGAACACACTCAAATCATACTCATTATTCAACAGAATCAAATGAATGTCACGCCATTGATAGAAAAAAGTGATGGATGAGCATTTGGTACCTCTGCCATGATCTCAACAGGCACATTGGCATCAAGGCCAGAGCCGGGTTCGTCGATCCAGTCCTGGACGTCGCAACTATCGCTCAGGTCCTGGAGGGTGTGAGCAACGGGAACCTCAGCAGCAAAGGGCACTGATGCTGGGGACGAGAAAAAAGGCTCTGTCAGTTTCTGCTGCTTTGGCTTTTATTTTATTGCAACCTAAAAAATGATAATTTACTACTATTACAACTACAGCTACGACACGATTCAAAAGTACTATTTTTACTGCCATATACTAAACATCCAGGTTCACTGCTCGGAAAGATCGGAAATCTACTATGATAATACTCCATAGTAGAATCCTCCAAACTACGGACATACAGACGGTATTCAAAACATTTAGATAGTGTGAAAGTCAAAGATATTTGGTCATCAGAAATTGTGAAACTGTTAATTATGATAAATTAATTACACATACAGGGAAATTATCCAAGATTTTTGTTTTTGCAACAACCAAACTGAACTAATACTGACCAAGACCAGTGCTACTGCTACTTAGAATAATACAAAAAACTACCACAAAATACTCCTACTACCCCAACATTCTTCTACTATTACCCCTCCCCCCAAATTATTACTTCTACCTAAAATACTTGTGCAAACCTTTGAAACAGTTTTACTGTTGCAAATTAATAGTATTTTTAAACACAGTACTTTTGTTTTTCACTTTTTCTCTTCTTCAAACTATAACTTGTAATTGAACTGACCGGGTTCTTGTTCATCCCAACAGCCAGGGGGCGGCGTAGGTGAGGAGTCAGACAGGGACCACACGCCTGAGTCTCTGTCCGGTGACCCAGAGGTCATAGGGTCAACTGTCAGAACCACAGGGACACGAGCTGGAGCTGTGGTCAGACTGCCAGCTTCTCCCCGAGAACAAATCTCCATCAGCTCCTTGGACACAGTCGCACTGAAAACACACACACCATAAGTACACCCGGGGAGGCAGGGGGTTAGCATAACATAAAAATAAAAAACACGGCAACCATTATACAGGGTCATATTCAGCAAGTCATTTGTGCTTTAGACTTATTTCTATCTAACTTTGCAATTTCAAGGTAAAATTATGTGTGAAAAATACCTTTATGACAGCAACATATATATACAGTATATACATAGTGTTGTCATAAAGGTATTTTTCACACTAAACCACGGCTTCAAATATCAAATAAGTGAGGCACACAATTACACAGAGTTGGATGCATAGAGCTAAACAAATTGTGACTATGCCGCTCTGTAGGCCGTATTAATGTGACGTAAAAGTGATTGGGATGAAGTCAGTGCCTCACCAACCACCAACTTCAGCGAACGTTACTGAAGTACAGACATGTCATTATTATGATATTATTGACTTACTATCCCAGGAAAGATGCAGGTTGCAGGTGAGCCATGGTGATAAACGGGAGCTGCAGAGCCTGCTGAGGAGTTAACCTCTGCTCTCCGTCCAAACACAGTAACCCCTTTAGGAGGTCAACGAAGGCCCTCTTGTCCTCCTCCTTAGATGCTGTGTCTTCTGAATAAACCTATATGCAACACAAATACACAATAAGACACTGACACTCAACACTACAACTTATGTATTGTATGTGTATGTGTGAGAATGTGTTATTATGGACTACAGTATGAAATGTATGGATTTTATGGTTCGCGATTCCCTATGATGTGATGGACTATATCAACATTTATGGACATTGGTCATCTGAGTCATATGGACCAATGACTTTTTATCATTGCATTTCTTGTGTTTGAACCGTTTGATTCTCTGTTGGCGAATTCAACGATTTTGTTCAGTCCTTCGAGACAACTATTGATATGAATGAATGTACAGGTATGATGCTGGGGTATAGATAGTTTTCCACTGAAGTCACGCACTACCCACAATTCCACAGTTCGCCATTTTGGGAGTCTACTAGCCGCCGCTAGTTGTAGCTAACCAAATCGGACCAAATCACTTTTTTGCTAAAACATGCCGACTGCCTGCATCGTTTGGGGGCGCAGTGACCGCATAGATTGTGGGGACATTTCGAAGGCTATTACGAGCCAAGGGAGTGACTCGGGACAGAGAAATGAGTCCTTAGTTGGCGAGGATCAACCAGAGGGATTCAACCCTAAGCCCTGAAAAACGGCACTATAAGGTCTGTTCTGACCATTTTATAACAGGTAACAGCTAAATCTGTGCATGTGTGGGAGGAGGGGGGGGGGGAGGAGGGGGGGAAACAGTGGTAGACAGAAGTGATTTGCGGCCTGTGATATCAAACTGATATATAACTGTTAAGTGAAAGTAAGCCATTTCTGGGAAGTTCACTGGTCTCGCCGCGTTTCATATGGATCCAAATCTCCCGATTCTCAAAGGATCTTGCCTCACAGATTACTCCAGTCTATCAATATACTTAACGCGGTCAGTGTTGGCCGAATTCGAGGCTTTAGATGAAATGGGTACAGATGATCCGTGACAAATTATCAGTGACAAATGATACGTGCAATATAAGCTTGACTCCCAAAATGCCGTTCGCGCAAAGCATCATGGGTAATAAGCACGTGATGGAAAACTATGTATATACTGTATATGCCTATATGGTGTGTATATGCTATTGTAAACTCCTATTTTTAACTGTTATTGTCTTGTTTTTTAGCTTAACGTTGCTGTGCACTGTACCCTCTCCCATGTCTCACAGTGGGGACATTTCAGTGTTACATTACCAGTTACAGAACAGTAGGAATGAGCACACAGCACAAGGACAGAACAAATCTCTACTACATAAATTAACAAAACAAAATATCTAGCCTTAGCATAATAAGGAAGCAGTCTATTATCTCTAATAAGAAAGCAAGAATTAAGATGTTAGATAAACATTACTTTCCCTATTGGACATGTAGTTCATCAGTAATGATTAGGATTTTAATGACTTGTGTGACCGTCTCTTTCTTGTTTTGTTCAGCACTTTAAGTTGCCTTGTGTATGAATTGTGCTATACAAATAAATTGGCCTTGCCTGCCGTACTTACATTGTGAAGGTCGTCCAATGAGAAGGGGAAGTCAAAGTCCACCTCCATCTCCTCAGTGCTCACATTGTTCTGGTCTGAGAACTCTTCTGGGAACTGAGAAAGGATTCTAATTGAATCAACTGAACCAGCACATGGCAATCAGACACATCACAAAACACAACTGAAGAAGTACCAAAAGTCTCCAGTGGGTTCCCTCGGTGGTCAGGACTTCATGGAAGAAGTAGTCAGAGTACTTCCCCTTCTGCAGCAGGTGGTCAGCAGGTTTCCCCAGAAGTTCCACCGTGCGTTTCATGAGTTGGTACTCACAGTGGACAGGGAAAAGGTTGTCTGCGAGGTAGAGGTAGGCCAAGAGGCAGCCCACCCCCCACGCATCCACAGCCTCAGTGAACGGGAGGCCGAGTGAGATCTCAGGAGCTCTGGAAGATTCAACACAGAACGTTTAGAGGATTGTCTGAAAACTATTTTGTCATGGGCAGAAATACATGTTCAAATGTGTTTGCTTTGTCTTTCTTTGAATTGGTTTGGAGTAGTCACAATCCAATCATGTTAGGGCTAGGAACAGTTCACCGTGTTAAAGTTATGTGTGTGTGTTTGCGTGTCTTTGTATGTGTGTTTGTCTGTGTGTGCGTTTTCCTGTGTGTGTGTGTGTTTGTGGGTTTGACTGTGAGTGAGTGTGTGGGTTTGTCTGTGTGTGACTGTGTGTGTGCATATCAGTGTGTGTTTGTATGTGTGTTTGTCTGTGTGTGAGTGTATACGTTTCTGTGTATATGTGTGTGTGTGTGTCAGAGTTACCTGTAGCCAAGAGCCTGGATGTCCATCCCTGGCTGAGCCTCACAGATGCTCATGGCTTCTCCAAAGTCAATGAGCTTGATCCTCAGAGGTTGCTCCTCCAGGTTTGTGAACATGACGTTGTCGGGTTTGATGTCACAGTGGAGGATCCCTGCACCTTTAAGGGCGTCTAAAGCCACCAACAACTGCAGAGACAGGAGACGCAACATGATCAACGAGAGTTTGGACGGTCCATCGCTATGCTAATGCTGACTTAATAACACAAGTCTGAATATTATAATAATATCATCAAAAGATAATATAAAACCACATTAGAATACATGTGTACAAGTCCCCAGTGTGCACCAGGCAAGTACATAAATACAACTAGCTAAAAACTACAGTAAGAAAAACAAGCTAAAAAAGGTTTTGGAATAAATCAAGCTAAAAAAGTGCAGGAAAACAATTGTGATGCAGTTTCAAATGATTCAGGCGCACACAGCATCATGGGTATTCCCAGGCTCGATGGACAGTGGAAAAAAAAATCCGTTTTTTAAAATGAAGAATTACCTGTTGGGCAATCGGCCGAATCTCGCTCATTTGCAGAGGTACGAAACATCTTCTGCTCATGAACGTGTACAGATCGACATCAAGCATTTCCAAGGCGAGACAATTCACCCCCATGAACTGGAAACACTCCACAAAGTGCACCAGGTTCACACGCTCCGGGTCGAGGAGTCTGACCTTCTCCAACATGGAAATCTACAAGGAAAAGAGGAAGACTTTAGGAGATCCTTCGTTCGTCCCACAGTGGGGAAATGTCAGTGTTGCATCGCCAGTTACAACAGAAGGAATGAGGAGCACACAGAATAAAAACTCTATACTAGAATAAAATAAAATCTATAACTTTAGCATAATAAAGAAGAAAGATTTAAGTATAAAACATCTGACTTTAAAATAATAATAACAAAGAAGCAAGTATAATATTTCTAACTTTAGCATAATAAAGAAGTAATTTTAATCCTCAAAAAACATAGTTGTATGTATGTAGCTTCACATGTTAACAGCATGAGCACGATATGGGCTAAAGTGACAATGGACACATGTGGTTCAAATTATTACTATTAGTTTAATACAGTTAAAGATATAAAACTATGGAATAATCGCAGTGCACCCTTACATATGAATCATAACCAAATGAATATGCATGTATGACAAAAAGTGATCGATGAACATGTGTTACCTCTGCTTCCATGCTCTCGGTGTGGTCTTTCAACATTTTCACAGCCACAGTCTGCTTCCTGCTCAGGGCCTGGCATTTGGCGACACGACCAAAGCCGCCCTCACCGAGCCAGTCCTGGACGTAGTAGGAATCGGTCTGACCCTGGAGGGTGTGACCGATGGTGATCTCAGACCAGTCGTCAGGTGCTGAGGACGAGACAAAGGCTCCATCAGGCCACACAATACATACAGTACATACAGTAAATATACATTTACACATGTTTCTGTTAACTATACACATGTCACCATAACTATACAATTATCAGTACTTTTTCCACCAATATATATTCTGCAGTACAGACATGGTTACTACAACTGAAGATAGCCCCTGAACCAGTCTTTGCATCCCTGTGTCACTGGGGTTTATGAATAATACTTAAACAATTCTCTTTAAAGTTCTCTAAATGATGTTTCTGACTAAAGTGGATATTATCATAAAGACAGAAGTTGTATACAAGTGCCGTTTCTTGATTGCATTTTAGTATTTTAGTATTTTAGTATTGATCAGTGAAAAGTAACAGTAGCAGTAACAAAAACAGAGACATGTGTATTCTCACTCATGATTTGACTTCAGATGTATTCTATTTTCATATAAACTTTGTGTTTACAGAAGCAGTTGGTTGTTTTTTACAGAAAATGCTGATTATTTCTACACAAATCTGAGACAAAGTCTTTTTGAACTGTTTTGGTTGCAGTGTTTGTTCAGTGAGTGTCTGATGTTTCATGTTATTACCTGCTGCACCAGAGGTCTCATAGGAATCCCAAGACGACATTGTTTTTGTAAAAGTCAGACTTGGTCAAAAACAACAGTATTCAAAGCAATAATGCACGAGCAATTGAAAAGTGTGTACCTCTCAACAGTGTCTCAGCAAAAGTGAAGGCATATAGAGAGACTTGTAACCATGTAACCATGACACTGGCACTCTAGAACACTTGTTTAGATGCTGCCATAGAATGATGTCATATGCATTACATCATCTATGCCCTTATATGGACAGTACCTTCAAATCAAAGTAAATTAGCCATTTATTGGATATTCATCATGGGGATTTTGTAAATAAAATACATCTTTTAGGTTTTCACTATAAAAGCCGCAGGGTTCAAAGAACCCAAAAGAAGTACACAGCAGGAAGTAAACAAAAAGCACAGAGATAAAATGTGGCCCCAGCCTGTGGCTGCTATTAAACGTTCAACATAAACGCACATTATGTTAAAAAATTAGAAATCAATGTTTTCTAAAACATGGTGTAAGTGGCCTTTTGGCACAGAACCTCAACTGCTGTGGAACTATTCTGTTATTTTAACACAAACAGCAGTTTTAGTTGGTTTGTATGACAAAAATAAAAACTCTTGAATTTTGAAATGTTTTTGTTACTTCTGTTTTGATGGCGAGTATCAAAGTCTTACTGTACCAAAAGCTGAGTGTGCATAAGTTTAGTTTTTAATCAGGCCTTGGTATGTGAAGTGCTATCTATGGTCTTATTTGTTCAAAAACGTTACTCGAAGTACACTCTTTGTTGGGACAAATTACATGTATTTGTGGAACAAAAGAAAACAATTTACTCCAGCTACCAGTATGTTTTTTCTGGTAACTTATTATACTAATTATGATGTAGTGCATTCTTTTAAACCCACACACTACAGCTTTTAGTGGTTAGCCACTGTTTTAGTTGAAATCATTCATTGTTGTTTGTTGTAAGTATTTGTAAATGAATATAAAAACGCTGTTACAGTGGGTTGGGGTTAGTTGTTAATGTCTAGACGATTATTTGTTAATGGATATGAGACATTTGTTAATGCTAAATACGTAATGGTCAATGATAACTCAAAGGCATACAAGAAGATTTTCTACCTCCGGTTGGATCATCAAGATGATTGGTCCTCTCACTTGTCAATCATTCTGGTGATAACGGCTCGTCAAATAAGACCAGAGAGTTTTGTTCAATCAGTGGAGAGACCTTTAACTTTTATAAATGATGTATAATCAAACAGTATTCTAAAGTGTTACCTTTTCATGAGTAGGACATCGTAGGTGTTTACTTTTGAATGCGCTGGAAACAGCAACAAGTCCTGAGTACTGTAGCTCTGAAACAGTTGTTGTTTTGTGCTTTACAAATATTTTTTTTATTTTTTCTGCCTGAGATGTTGCTACAGTACAGTGTTCATGGTTTTCACTGGTCCAGACCAGAGCAGAGAGGATTCATGGTCTGAACCAAGCAGATCAGGTGAAAATCGACTCAAGGAATGCTAACATTTTGAAAAATGCTAATGAAGCATTTAGCATTTTATTTTGGACTAGAGCAGAGAAAATGGTCTGAACCAAGCGGCTACTCCACCTTGTGACCTGTCCTGCTCCACCCAGACGCTACTCCACCTCTGCTGCTGTGACCTGAAGGGCTGTTGCTGATTATTACTATTCTTAGCTCTTTAGAATGATACATTTTATTTGTCTACTTTTGCTGCTGCTGGACACCTGAATTTCTCCTACAGGGATCAATAAAGTATATATCTATCTATATTCAATGTTCTCAACTATTGTCAAAGAGAGTTATGATCAGGGAAAATATTGGATGAAGAAGATGGAGGATGAAGAATACATGTCTCCAACGCACCACTGAAGTAATTCCAGGTTGAATTTAGACACAAATCCTCATCACACTCTTTATACATTTTATGCTATAAATATATGAACTTTAGACCGACATCACCATTTGTTCAGTGAATATTTACTTTAAAAGAAATATTTGATGCTAAATCAATCTTATACAATATTGTTCCCTCATCAAATACTGGAGTTGGTTTTAGATCCATTCACGTTATTTTTTAGTGACTCTTTTCTACAAGTACGACAAAGGTAAGGTAAGTTTTCTAATAAGAGGAAGAAATTATGTTGTGGTCTGGTTTACATTTTACTTTCCGTTGGGACAAACATAAAAAAAATAAAGTTAGGCATCCCAGCTAGGGTAGGGAACTGCGTAATTATTTGGACTGCTTTGTAAAAAACATGCAAATCTATCAAATGTTATAACCCTATTTATGTGAGATAAAAGTAAAAAGAAACAAATTCAACGGACTAAAAATATGAAAAAAATCAGCCTCAGGACAAACACCAGAGTTAATTGTACACAATGTATTCACTAAAACACAAAATGTCAGTTGTGTTTATAGCTTTTAAACTGTTTTCTGTTTGATGAAGCCCAATTAATGGGAGTAAATGTCAGTACACATCCCGGTGCGTCAGTCCAGTATCCCTCTGCTTGTCCCTCTTGTTTACGTCTGCATTTGCAACTAACTAATACAGCATCGGCCATCACTGCAGCAGGACTTGGATCAGGTTAAATTGTTTCTCATAGGGACTTGATTATTTGGAACTGTTTGTCCAGGCAAAGTCAATTATCCCTCAAGAGTGCTCCAACTCGGTATCTCTGCAAACATGCGTGTTGTGTTCCGCTCGCACTGGTTTGTCGTTACTCAAACAGCACAACGTCTATAATTGGAAGGGTGTGGTTACTCATGTCATGTATGTGCTGCTCTGCTCTGATAGATTAGAGCTGTGTTATGCATTATGCGTTTGGAGAACACATACATTACACATACACAGTGGAAGGGTGGGGATGTTCAATCAATCTGTGTTTGTAGAGCGCTTTTCATACTAAAAGTAACACACAAAGGTTTGACAGTGAAGAAGATGACATAGTCTGGGATCGCGTCTTAAATTCAGACAGAAGACATGTTTTATTGTCGATGGTAGAGACAGCACGATCAAAGCACACGAGCACAGATACAACAGAATGCAAGTGTATTATACAGAGCGGAGGCATGGAGACCTCCAATCAGCAGCTTCCACGGTGTGCTTGTAGATTGGCCTTCAGATAGACAAAACAAGGGAAAAGTACTGGCTTCTGCACATTGATAGATTGATGAGTTTAACTTTAACAAAAGTTGCTTCAAAGTGTTATGAAATCTCACAACAGTTCATAGAGAAATATTAAAATCACACTGGGTATTGAAAACATAAATAATATAATATATATTTGCATAAAAAGAGTGAAGATACAATCCTTCAGTTGTACGCGCAGCTGAAGAGACTGTTTTTGACTTGGATTTGAACATTGTCAGAGTAGAAGTAAAAATACTGTATATTCTAGTGCAAGAAATATAGTTGTTGGTATACATCTGTATATGTTAGCAGTTCGCAACTCTGTTACTCCCCCAATCGAGAAATGGACTAATAAAGGAGATGAAAATGTATGAGTTTAGTATTAAATGTTTGTAAAAGAAAGAAACCTGGAATCCCACATGCTTGGACTACATTGTAACCTATTGTAAACTAAAACTAAAACTTCCCCTCACGCCCTGGAAACTTCTTAGACCCTGGGTCTCCCTAAAGAGAATCCATTAGTGGCACAGTTCATGTGTTTACAATGGAATTAGATCAGATTCAGATTCATTTATTTGCCATTTGCACTAAAACCAGATTGGTGCACACTAGGGGAGTCTTGCACAATTTTTCCAGACAGAGAAGACAACACACACCAGAGCTCTTGCATATGAATTATGGATATTGCATAAATGTGTGGCTCATGTTTGAGAAATGCCTTCCATGAAGTTTTGACCTTGTGTCCTTTCTCCAGTGGGACACTGCACAGGACAATTTTAATTGAATAAAAACTATTCAAACTATTATTTTTTTGATATTTATTTATAGAAACACTAATTAAAAGTAAATTAAGTGCTAATTAGTGTATCCTGGCCCTAACTCTAAACCTAACTCTAACCCTAAGCCTAACCCACGTGCGAAAGTGTCAGTTAGAAGTAAGTTAGATGTTGAATACGGGCATTGACTATGGACTAATAAATGCTTAATAAATTCCAATGAATAGCTTATCAACCATAAAACATACAAAAATGTTGCACTTAATTAGCTGTTAATCAATCAATCATCTATTTTTATTTGTGCCTTTCATACACAGGGCAACACAAAGCGCTTCACAGTCACACACAAGGCACAAATCACCACAAAAATATCACTATTTAAAACACAATTCAAAATCACACTGGTTTTTAAAACCACTAAAACATTAAAAGCACAAAAGAAATTAAATCCATTAAAACGTTAAAACGCAAGGGATTAAAAAAACCCCCACAGTGCATTAAAAAAGGAGATAGAACAAATGCAGACTGTAACCGGGTTCATTAGTGAGGGCTAAACTAAGATGTGGTTAATATGGCCACATTTCACAATCATGAACATTAGTAGATACAGTTGAAGAGTTATATTTGCGAGATGAGAAGTATCAGAGGAAATTGCTGAGTTAATTCAAACATTTCATAAGTGGGACGTATTAATTGGAGGCTTATTGTCACAGAGCGGAATCGTGCGCCGGGAAAAGAACTGAAGGAAGCTGAAGACGGCAGATGGTGGATGAAGAATACATGTCTCCAACGCGCCGCTGAATAAGTCATTTCCAGGTGGATTTTTGCTGTTTATTTTGGTCCGTGTTTACACTTGTTACTGCTGTTTGTTTACTCACACTGGGGGCAGAAACCGTTGTAAACTAATGAAACGGAATACACAATAACGCTATGATCAGACCCAAATAGAGATTTATGAAAGGATGTTATGATTCTCACAGAAATCCTGGATTATGTACTGTATAATCGGGGCTCAAAAACACAACACTGATAAAATGGTATTGTTTTCTACTAAATATATTCCAAAATATAGGAAAAATAAATGAATAAAATCATGAATTGTGAGAAAGCCATGGTC